TGAAGAAGAACTGCCCACACATTGTCGTGGGGACCCCGGGCCGCATTTTAGCCCTGGCCCGAAATAAGAGCCTCAATCTCAAACACATTAAACATTTTATCTTGGATGAGTGTGACAAAATGCTCGAACAGCTCGGTGAGTGGAAGACCTGAAGAATAGAGGGATCCCAGAAGTGGGGCCGTACCTCATGGAAATTGAAGGTCAGGGTATTTGACCCTTGGAGCCACATGATGTGTTCATGTTAAGATGGAGCACCTCGGTGCCAGGACGACTCTTGATCTATCACCCATGACTGATGGCTCTGGGCTCCAGAAGCTGGGATTCTTTGGATATCTGTGAATGTTTTCATTGGTTCATGATGAAAGGGGATCTGGGGAGTCCAAGCAAGGCAGCATGGTACTTTGGGCAGCTTTGGTGATGGGGATAATAAAGAGGAAATGGTTCAGGCCTTTTTCTTTCCTTATGTTAGAGGAGTGCCTTCAGACCATAGAAGGACTTCCTTAATCTGAGAACACTGTATACTGATTACTCTGCCTTATGTTTGCAGAATCTAGTCCTAGCTATTCTAGGAAATGCGGGGGGAAAAGGGAGCTCAGCTTTTAGGTTAGGAAGAGAGAGAACATAGCCTAGAACTGAACTAGTAGATAGGCTAAATTTTAGATATTGCAACTAGGAAGCATACTTAAATTTGTCCACGAGAGAAGACTTGAATACACCTAATTAGGGAGAATTTTCTAGAAGGGGAATTTTGAACAAGATTTGGAAGGAAAGGTTGAAGATACCTGGGTAGAATTAAGGATGTGTGTATGTGTTGGGGGGTGGGACAGCATATTAAAGCCAAAAGTAGTATATTGACTTTGTTTAGGTTTGGAATAAGTGTGAGCAGGGAACAGGGAACCAGGTAGTAAACTTTTACTTTCTTCAATATTGTTGGAAAGTACTCTTTCCCTCGTTCTACGTTTAGCCTCCTCATCACTCCTCTTTTGTAGACATGCGTCGGGATGTCCAGGAAATTTTCCGCATGACCCCCCATGAGAAGCAGGTCATGATGTTCAGTGCCACCCTGAGCAAAGAGATCCGCCCTGTCTGCCGCAAGTTCATGCAAGACGTAAATACCCTTCTACCTTCTCTCCCTCCATCCCCTGCCCGCAGCCTCTTCCTACTCCCTCTCCTCGACCTTCTCCAGTCTACCCTCTTCCCTGTCCTCCCAGTGCTGAGATGGAGTCATGTAAACCTCCCTGGAAAGACAGAGATAGAGACAGCCAGTGATAAGGTCTGCGCGGGTGCCAGGGAAACTCCGGAAGACTTGGTCGGGATAAACACGAGAGCGGGTAGAATTCAAATAAACCCCAACAAAATAAGAAAACCCAAACAACAACAAAACTCTTTTTCCCTTTGGCAGGGTGGGACATTCTGTCCCACTCTGCCACCCACTATTTCCTTTGTCCCCCACGAGCACACACCCTCAAGGTGGCATCGAACACAACTGGGGCCTTTTAGCTCCCCATAAAACTCAAATCTCCCCAAATCCCACATTTCCTGATGACAGGAGAGCGAGAGAGGGACAGACAGACTGCAGGGCATGGCCAACAGAAGAGCAAAAGTCACAAATGAGTCTGCCCCCTCCTCACCTTCAGGGGTGGGGGCCTTTGGCACCTCAACCCCCGACCCTTCTACTCCTTCCCCTCCCTTCCTCCTCCTCCCCGATCTGGACCCTGTGGAGATGTGAGCCAGCAGCAGAGACTCAGCGCGGCGGGGGATTGCGGATGGCATCCAGCATCGGAAGGCGGCAGCAGAAGCTGCGGGAGAACCGTGTCCAGGAAGCAGAGGACCAAACCAGCCTTTTTTTCCGTTCCCGGTTTTTTTTTCCTGAACCTTACGCGTACCGCGCTCCCTTCACCCATGCGAGTTGCGGGGGTGCTCCTGAGTGGGTGGTGGATTTTTTTGGTTTTTTGTTTCCTTTTTTTTTTTCCGGGAGGGGGAAAGGGCAAGGTAACAAGTGAAGATCTTTACTTTGCTGAAACCAGGTGGGGGCTGGGGGTTCTCTAAGTGGGGAAAGAGCAGTGGGATAAGGCTTGGGGATGGGAGTTTATCTGTATTGCTCCCTTATGTGGGATGCTTCTCTTGTACTGTTACCCCCTGTGGGTAATAGAGATGAATTTCAAGGAGACTTTTAAACTCCTAAGTGAACTAGACCATTACTTCCCTTGCAGAACCTAGGGCTAGCTGGAGAGATTAGAGAGGCAAATGGGAATTGAGGTTGAATCTGTTATTACCTCTGTGGTGGTTTTCTCCTCCCCTTCAAGGGGATATATAGATCAGGAGCTATAAAGGAGAATTCTTATATAATAATAGGGGGTTCAGTTCTTTGCCTGGTCACTCTTACTACTGGAGTTTATTTAACCTTAGATTCTAGAGAAAGCCAGTCCTGTAAAGGATCTCTTGTCTTACATGGTTCTGGCTGGAAGGTGAAAGCAGTGTAGTCTTTCACTTTAAGTAACTTCCATTTTCCTTTAACCAGCTGTTTAACATGGCAATCTAATCTTTCAGAGATTTGACATCTCCCTCTAAGTCAACCTATCATTTTACCATTTCAGATTTATCTGATTGTTAGTATCATATCCCTCTTGAGATCACTTCCACTGTTGCCCCCTTCTCCCAGGCAAAATGAGGTGATGTTTTCTAATCCATCTGAATAGCCTCTTGCCGTTGGATGGTCTCACTGGAGGCCATCAGTTCTGTCTTTTGTCCTCCTGCCCCCATAATGCTTTCCATGGGTGTTTATGACATCCTAGGATGGCTCATACTTAAAACCCTGTTTTATAGAGAAGAGACTATGTTGAGTTTGGGAGGCTGTGGGGTTGGAGATGGGAAGGGAGCTGGACATCTTAACTCTCTTCTCCCCATCCCATTCATGGGGTGTATTGGGAGTCACCTATCCCCACCAACACCCACCCCCCTCAGGTTTAACACCCCCACTCTGCCCTCCCTCCTCCGTCCCCTTCCTTCCTCCCCCCCAGCCAATGGAGATCTTCGTGGATGATGAGACGAAGCTGACGCTGCATGGGCTGCAGCAGTACTACGTGAAGCTGAAGGACAATGAGAAGAACCGAAAACTCTTCGACCTCCTGGATGTTCTGGAGTTCAACCAGGTCAGCTGGGTCTGAAGGTGGAGGGGTAGAGCATAGGGGGGGACACGGGAGAAAAGCCCTTGAAGGATAATGTAAATGCCAGGGATGTCCTTTAGAGGAGACTCACTAGATATGATACCAAAGGAATCATTCTTGTCTGCTCTGTGTGATTTTATAAAGGTGGGGAGCATCTCATTTGTCTTTTCCTTTTCTTATAATAATCATCTTTTTTGTTCTCTGATTGTTAACTTCCACCCCGTAACTTCCCTCTGGTTTTACCTTGTTCTCAAGATGCATGATAGTTTTTAGAATCAAGTGAAGTAAACAAAATGAAAATTGACTGTGTTTAAGGCTGTCTGAATATCAGAAGCATGTAGTTTGGTGGTGCAGGAAAGGATTGGATTGGGTTACTGGATCTTTTTTCTTACCCCACCACACACAGGTGGTGATCTTCGTGAAATCTGTGCAGCGCTGCATTGCCCTGGCCCAGCTCCTAGTGGAACAGAACTTCCCAGCCATTGCCATCCATCGTGGGATGCCCCAAGAGGAGAGGTGAGCAGAGGAGTTGGGGTGGGGGGTGGCCAGAAGAGTGCCAAGGGCAACTTTCATATCCTCCTCTGCTCTTTTCCCCCTTGTCCCTACTATTAGGTTGTCCCGGTATCAACAGTTCAAGGATTTTCAGCGTCGTATCCTTGTGGCCACTAACCTATTTGGCCGGGGCATGGATATTGAACGAGTAAACATCGCCTTCAACTATGACATGCCAGAGGACTCAGACACCTACTTACACAGGGTAAGTCTTACAGTTGGGTGATACTTTTTAATGCCTTCCCACTTGGCATTGCAGCCTTTCCCTCACCTTTATGCCCCATATCCATCTTTTCTATGCCCTGTCTCTTCCTCAGGATACTCCTTGACTTTATCACATTCTTGTCCCTAGGTGGCTAGAGCAGGCCGGTTTGGTACAAAGGGTTTAGCCATCACATTTGTATCAGATGAAAATGACGCCAAAATCCTCAATGACGTCCAGGATCGCTTCGAGGTCAACATCAGTGAACTGCCTGATGAGATAGACATTTCTTCCTACAGTGAGTATTGGACTCTTGTTAATTAACTTGATCCCTTGATCTCATCTCTCTGGGCCTTTTTTTTTTTTTTTAAAGTCTTAGAATGTGTTATTCGTTAATTCTTATCACTTTCCCCCTCTATCTCTGTATAGTTCTTTTTCTGTATCACTTCCCTTTCTATCACTACTCCCACCTCTAACCCTATCTTAATTTCTTTCTTTTTTTTTTTTTTTCTTCAGTTGAGCAGACTCGGTAGAGGCCTTGACCTGTCCCTGGAGTATGATACCCTCTCCCTCCCCAGGAGCCGAACACTCTGGTGCGGGGGGTGAAGGAGACACTACTGCCACCTACCCCCCAGCCTCCCCGCCCCAACGGCCCTGTTCATGTCATCCCCAAAACTCTTTATTGATTTGTCCTGTCGGATTTTTTTTTAACAAAACTAAAAATGAAACAAAAAAGTATCTTGAGTGTCTGAGGGTTTTGTTCCTTTATTTGAGGGGTGGCGGTGGGTGGTCTTTTTCTCCTCTTCAGCCTTGGGGGAGGAATGGAAGTTATCTTAGGGGACTGGAAATAGGATCATTTGTGAGGGGATTCAGTTACTAGGGTGAGGAGGGGCTAGCTACCCCTGAGCACCCCTTCCCATTTTTGGCCCTCCTCAGAAGGAGAGCATTCCTATTTCCCGTCATTGTGTGTTCTCTCTGCTCCAGAAAAGGAGGGAATAGGATGGGACCCTGGGGCAAAGGAGTTCGTAAGAGCATTTGCTTGGGTTCAGCCAGTAAAGGAAGGTAAAGGACAGATCCCCTCAAGCGTCACCATCACCTCTCAGGCTCTCTCGGTGCCGCCTCATCTGCTCCTTGAGCTTCTGTATCTTGAGCACGAGGGCTTGAGCTTCCCATGCCCCTTCTTGCCCCTCCAGCAGGGCTTGGTACAGCTCTAGCTGTTGCTCCAGTAGTTCTTCTGCCTGAGCCAGCTCTGCTGTTCTGTGGCCTGGACCCTGGGGGGAGGATGCCGAGGGTTCGGAGGAACTTAATTGGGCTGTGGTACTGAGTTTACTGGGGAGAAGAACTGCTTCCTCTGCTCCCCTCCTCATGAATGTCTGGGTGAAAGGGACCGTATGGCCTTGCTGGACGAAGACACAAAACTACACTTCCCCTCTGACGAATAATTAACTCTCAAACCAGGGACCTGTTCAAGGACTTTGTGGACTCTGCTATATGAAGGTGGGGGGGGGCAGCTAGATCCTTCAGTATTGGGGAAAAAGCTGGAGGGGAAAGGGCTCTAGTATGGATCATAGAATGACATGCTTGGCTCCAGAAGGTAGGAGGGTGGGTTGGATTGGACTAAGGTTTTGTCCCTTCTCCCAGTCTAAAATAATGTTGTTCCACCCCACCCCCTATCCCCATCCCTCTTACCTTGTTTGGGGATAGGGTCTTTCTGGTCTCTTCTGTGGCTAGTTCTCCTGTAGGTGGCCCAGCATTCTGGGAATAGGCCCCACGAGAAGTGTGAGGGGCCATGATCCGGGAGGGCAGGAGACGACAGAAGTAACGAGAGAACCAGGGCAGAGGGAGGCCCATGGCAGGCTGGGGCTGGGGAGGGAGTTATGTCCGAACTGCCTTCCACCTGCCAGGAACTGGCTTCCTCCGGGGCCCAGCCTTGTTCTGATGCCCCAGCCCTGCCCAGTCCCCCGCCCCTGCCCGCTCCACTGCCTCTTGCTCCCTCCCCAGGCTGGTCAGCCTCAGAGTCCATGAACTCCTGTTCCTGGGCTGCATATAACTTTTTAATCAACCAGGCACCACTCTCCTCTGAGTCTTGTGTACTAGGGTCTTGAACCCAAGTGGTCTTTCATCCACCTAGATTAGGTTCACTTTTTTTCCCGTTTCCCACTCATTCTCTTACAATTCCTTATCCCTGTACCCTATATCCCTATTGCCTTCACTCCTGCCTGCTCCTGCTTCCCTAGAGCAGGGTCCCCACCCCCTCCTACCTTAACCCCCAGGTCTGTCCTTTCTGGCTTCTTCATGGATAGTCCCACCTTGATTAGGAAGTGTGTTGCGCTTAGATTTGAATTTTCATTCTCTGGAAAGGTAGGACTGTTTCCTTCAAGTTACAGCAATAAAATTGTCATTCTGCTATAAATTGTTCCTCCTCTTCCTCACATTGTAGGCCCTCCCTCCCTCCTTATCTCCCACTACTCCCCACTTTTCCTTTTTGTTCACAGGGAATCAGAATCCCAAAGCTAGGAGGGGCCTCAGGAATCATCTGGTCAGTCCACTCCTGACACATCTATTAATATCCCTGTCAAGTGGTCAACCCTTCAACTGAAGACCTAGTGTCTGGGGTGGGGGGTAGGAACCTCTTGAGGCTACTTATTTCACTTTCTAATTGTTTCCTTTACATTAAGCCTATATGTGTGTGTGTCTTTACAATGTCCACCCACTGCTCTCAGTTCAGCACTTTGGGGCCAAGCTGAGCAAGCTGTTCAAATTCTGGAAATACAGCTATCATCATCCCCATAAACCTTCAGAAACAGCTAGGTGGCGCAGTGGATTGAGTGGAGGTACATAGAGTCAGGAAGATTTAAATTCCAGTCCAGTCTCTGATACTTAGCTGGTTGACCCTGGGCAAGTTATTCAACCTCTGCCTCAGTTTTCTCATCTATTAAATGGTAATAATAAAAAGCGTGACATAAATGCTAGGTTATTCTCCATGCTCCTGGCCCTTCATCTGATCTGTAGGTATTCCAGTTTGTTGATGCCTTTTCTAAAATGTCCCCTGTCCCATCCCCTGTCTCCTGCCCCCCAAAACTAAACACAACACTACAGATTTAACCTCAGTTTCTTGTACTCATTTCTCTCTGTTCCCTACCTTTCCTTTCTGTCTGTCGAGGGTTTAACCCAAGTCCTGAAAAGCCATTAGCCACTTCTCACTATTATACTATACCTAAGAGCCTATCCCACACAATTTAGTACTTAACTATTATCTATCTGTTTTATATATGTTAGGTTTTGTCTCTTGAGCTGGACTGTCTTCCTTATGGACACGAATCAAGCCTGATACTTCTTTACATCCTTTATATTGCTGGGCATAAAAGTGCTGGCTCGATAAATACGTGTTGGATTGTAAGTCTCTTGTAAGAGTTTTTGGGCATTCTGTTTCAGGTGAATAGTAAAGTCCTAGACCTGAAATACTGAAAGGTCAAACCCTGGAATCCAGATCCACAGCAGCATGAAAGGGCTAGTCTGAAGGAGTCAGCCAGCCTTTCCTATTTTGAATTTAATAATCTGTCATCTATGAATGTGTCTAAATTTCTGTTGAACCTGTTTATGTTCATCCTGTCCTAAGCCTCAGAGTAAAAATTTCCCTCTGTCCTCACCCTGCTGGGAAGTAAGAATTCTTTTATCTATTCTAAAAGAAAGAGATATTTCAATACTCAGAGGATTCCCAAGCTCAAGGTTATTGTTTTTGGTAAACAAGTTAATATTACCTACATCCCAGACTCTTAACCAAGGCTGCTGATGAAGAGGGGGGCAAATCCAACAGCAGAAATAGGGAAAAAATGTTTTCTATTTCTTACTTGAGAAGATGAGTCTCTATTGTTCCCATGCTTCTGAGGGGGGAGGAATGGTCTCTTCCTTGGTCTACGGGAGAGAAACTGGTGGAGGCACATTTACTTTCCTATGATCCTTTTCCCTCCACCCAACTTCTAAATCTCCAGCCCTGAACTCCCACAGCTCTTTGTCCTCTCCTCTTGCCCTGGAATCTCACCTAAACCAGGCTCAACACTGAGAAAGAGTCTGATTATTCCCTGGAGGGTAAAGAAAAAGAGATTAGAATCCATGACCATGAATAAAGGAGAAAGGACTTCTGAACATTAAAAGAGTAGGAGATAAGGGTGGGGCGTAGGGCTAGGAAGGGAAGGGGAAGCAATATTTATTAAGTGCCTACTATGTGCCAGGCACTGTGCTAAGTTCTTTACAAATATTACCTCATTTGATCCTCACAACAACCTTGGGAGGTAAGTGCTGTTATTATCATCCCTAATTTATAATTGAGGAAACTGAGGCAGACAGAAGTTAAGTGACTTGCCCAGGGTCATATAGCTAGTAAGTGTTTGAGACCACATTTGAACTCAGGTCTTCCTAACTCCAAGCTCAAGGATCTAGCCACAGTGCCACCCAGACTAGGAGTCTAGGTGAAATTGGTCTGGTGGAAGTTGGTCGGTTTTTAAACACTAGTGACATAGCCAAGCCCCCAGAGCTCCTCTGACAACTCCTTACCCTCCTCAGGCTGAGAGTCTGGGTCAACCCTGAGTGCTCCACAAGGCAGGTGTATCTAAGCTCTTCTCCTGGTGGGACTTTCACTGTTACCCAGCTCTGATAGGTCCCATCTCCTCCAGGTTGGGTGGCCTCAGGATCCTGGGATCCCTGGCCTAGAGGTTCTGCATCTCGAAGCCAGGTCAGAATGATAGTAGGTGGGGAGAAGCCAAATGCCAGGCACCTAAGGGCAGGTTCCTCCTCAGGGGCCTCCTAGAGGCTTACAAGAAGGGATGGAGACATTAGTGAGGAAGGGAAAGGAAAAAGGGAGGATTAAGGGTTAGGGTACTGACCTTGTCTTAGTTTCTTCCCCTCTCCTTACTGCCCCACTTACCTCCCCCTGGCTTATATAAGCTTATGGCCTCCCTACAATCAAGTCTACAAGAATCTCCTGACAGTGAAGGAAATAAGGAAGAGGTTGAAGGCATGCAAACACACTGAGTCCCCCTAAGACCCTTGTAGAGAATTCCTTGTCTCCTTTCCTTTTCTCTAGTTGGGGAGGTTTAACTATCTTTTCCCGGTTCTTGCTGAAGAAGAAAGGATTCAAGACACTCATCTCATCCCAGGCCCAGGAAGTTTTGGGCAGGAGAAAATCCCTGTCCTTACCCTTGGGTTCCTGAACTCCAAGCCCTGCCGGTAGCAGTCGCCAAAGTGTCTTCCTGCAGTCTCCCTACAGCCAGGCTTGCACTGCTGAAAGATGGTTGCCTATCACCAGCTGCCTCCTCCTCCTTTGTGGTTCCAGGAGGGATGCTCCCCAGGCTTAGGTCACTGGTTTGCAGGCAGTGAAGTCCTCCCTGCCCTAGTCTTAACGCCAGAACCCTTTCCAGCTCACAGCCATGGGACAGCTGAAGCATGTGGGAGCCAGGGGTGTCATTCCCTGTACCCCATGCCCTAAAGTCAGTGGTGAGAGAGCAGCGGACGACAAGGAAAGGGGCGTGTGTATGAAGGTGGGGTCTGGGAACACAAGGACTCCCAGGTCCCATGATGGGAGAAATCCAAGTAAGTGGATTCAGAAAGAATAGGGGACCTAGGGTCCCAACCTCTGGGTCCTATTGAGAAGTGGGAAGATGGACTGGGAAGTGGCATGCCTGAATCTTGTAAGAAGTGTTGACTCTGAGTGTGGATCTAAGAAGGGGGTGGGGAAGCAGGACTCCTGGACTCCTTGGACTCCTGGAACGGGGCCAGAATATTGGGTGTGGGGGTGGTCTGAAGCCTGAATCCCTAGCTCACCGCTGACCTTGCTGTCCTTCAAAATGTTCCTCAGACTCCAGCCAATGTTCTGTTCAGGAAGGCCAGCTCCTTGGCCTGCAGCAGCGATCCGGAACTTTCCACCTCTGTGCTTGGGGCGCTCAGCCTGGCCCTCCCAACCTCATCGTCATAGCCCACTTAAGACCTGGCTGTCTATATAACTTAGGGCTGTGTAAGCAGGTTGCCCTGGATGGGGCTGAGATACTGTAGTGAAGTCATACTGTAGAGCAAGAGTCCCTGAGAAATCAGGAAGGAGGTCTGTGGAATTCCAGTGGGAGCAGGAATCCACCCCCTAACTTTCCTTCCTTCCTTTCTTTCTACAAATATTATCTCATTTGATCTGGGGGTTAAAGCTCTGAGGATTAAAAAAAAAAAATGCCAAGTGATAATCCCTGTTCTCTCACAAGGAGATCACAGTCTAATGGGGAGAGACTACATGAAAACAACTATGTACAAATGAGATATATACAGTATACGTTTTACTCTAGCTGAGAGAGCTTTGTAGCCCTCTAGCAGATAAGAGCACTCCATTTGAAAAGGGTATATGTAGTACCACCTAACCTAGCCAGTGGCTGGCTGAAGGTGGAGAAAGACTGCAACTAGCCAGCTGCCTATTGAAGAAGGAGCTCAGAGAGCCAGATAATTCGACAGACCATCCAGCAGAGAATTCTGAATATACTCATAAGCAATGGGCTCATTGTATGGAGAATTGTAAGTAGGTCAGTTGGTGTAGAATGACGTTCATAAAAGCAAGTGACTTGAAGTGAGACCAGAAGGATAGATTGTAGCCAAGTTGTGAAGTTTCTTCATTTAATCTTCATTCACCTCCTGTTTTCCAGACTTGTATTTTACTGAAACATTTATCTAGTGTGGGAGGGTTATGGAGCTTAGAAAGATTTTAGAACTTATCTTCTCTAGCCGTTTCATTTTACACATGAGGAAACTGAGTTCCAGAGAGTTGAGTGAAATTGAGGTTTGAGCTCAGGTCCTCTGGTTCCAAATCCAGAGCTCTTTCCCCATCCACCTCATTGACATTTGCTCCCATATTTTAGGGCTCCCATTTGTTACTCACGGGGCTGATCCTTTGAAGGAGGTGTTTCCATCACCGGGAGCAGTTGCAGAAGTCCAAATCTGCATCCTTGGAAGCTGAGGGGATTCTTTGTGTGCCAGGGATACTAATTGTATGGGGAGATCATGGGGACCCTATCTGTGTCCAGTTAAGAGTCCAAGGTCACAGAGGCCTTTGGAGGCAACATCAACATCGAGGTAGATTCTGGTAAACAACTATGTAAACATGTAAACCAATCCATGAAGTGAGTTACTTTTGTGTTTAGGAAACTTTGTGTTAGGTACTTGGAAGTACCTTGTATAGTGGAAAGAATACTAGCTCAGGAGTCAGGAGACCTGGATTCTAGTCCTTCCTCGTGTAACTTTTGTTGTCTTTTGTTTTCAGACCTCAGTTATTTACCCTTCACTTCCCTTGCCCTCATCACTGAATCTCTTCTTTGTAACAAAGAAAAGGCATTCAAGCAAAGCCAACTGCCATAGATCCTTTTTTTTTTTTTTTTTTTTTTTTTTTTTTTTTTTT